CTGCTTCTTAGGGTTGTTTTAAGGATTTAATGAAAGAATTTGTGCACACACCGGTACAGCGATGCCCAGCGACGAAGCGAGCCCACACGGGCTTTCTGAGTGGCATTAGCTGCTATTCCTAATGTGTCCGCAGGCGCGCCCCCTGCTGGTTCGTAGGGCAATGAGCTTTTTTCTGACGGATCTGCCTGGGTTCCTTCACATTAAGTAAATAAACATCCAGGGGTTATTTTCATCCTTATAAACTGCACTGAAATCATCTTGTGTGTGTTTTTTTTTCTCCTAGATAATTTTAATGATCTGGAATGTCCTTAATGACCTGAATGGGTATTTTCACAGCAACTCGAAGGTCAACTGCTGTTCCTACCGCCACAGCTGTGTTTTGTATGGTGCCCCTTTCTGCGCGCTGGCCTTCCTGCTTCCTTGGTTCCCTTGGAAACACTATAGCGAAGGTGACTGGCTCAGTGGACTTCACCTGATGGTGTCCTTATGTGCTTTTGACAGCACGCTCACCTTCGTCCAGCAAGCCCAGTGCGCCCTGTTTGTGGAGATTTTCACTAGACACGAAAGTCAGCTTCCGCTTATGAAAATTAACCAGACAGCCGCACTCGTGGCCTCCACCAGCATCCTCTTCTGTGGCCTCCTCTCTGACAATCTGGAAATTCTGCTCAATTTTCAGGCCGCTGCCATTGGCATTGCCATCCTCGCGGCTGCCAGCCTTTACACCGGCATGTACCACCTGCGGCGCTTCGAGCCCAAAAGAAGCCCCAAGGAAAACTTTTTCTCAGAAAGTGAACAGGAACTCCCCTGGACCTCCGTCATCTCACAGATGAGACAAATCCTGACCCAGAAAAACTTCTGCCTCTTTCTGATAATGAATTTCTTCCAAGTCTTCCACTTAACCTTCCTCCGTAACTTCATGATGATCTTCGCAGAGGGTCTCATTCCCGGAGAGGTTCTGCCCTCTTCAGGAGCGTCTGGTACGGGGCGGGTTTTATCTGCCCACAGGTACGTGGTAGTTCGTGTATCTTCCTGGAGGGATCGAGGATTTAACTCTCACCTGAGTGAGGAAATGAAAAACCTGACTCTGTCGATAGTTTGAAAAAAAATGACACATTTATTAAGAGACCCAAAGATTCAGAGCCCCTGACGTACAAGATTCAGCAGAAACATAGTGGGAAGAAGAGATGAAGGGAGGGAAGGAAGGCGGAGCCAGTGAGAGCCGAACAACGAACGTGGCATTTTAAACATTCGAGCTTTTGAATTTCATTCCCCTGAGCTTTGTCGTTTAAGCCTCAGCAGAGCTATGACGAAAATCAGTGGCTTTCTGTGAGCGTGTCGCGTTGCTTTACCCTGGCGTCTAAGATGCCAGTGACCGTTACAGGGAGAAGAGTGACTCGAGGATCTTTGAAGCTGGGTTGCAAAACACTTGGCTCACAGGCCATGTCGCGCCATTCCAGAATGTCATTAAAATTCCACGGTCATGACAATTATCGTAGACGGCGTGCCCGCCTCCAAAAATGACCGCAGCGTGCTATTTTCTGCACTGTTTGAAGAGTAGATTAATCGAATTGCCCCCCTTAACCTAAGTATAGCTTCCAAAAATATGACAACCTGCCTGAGATATGGGTCTTTCTTGTTTTCATAATTAAATCCTAAAATTCATTACGTATACTCATCAGATAAGAAGTCATTCTAGCTAGACGAGTTTTTAGTGTTTACTAACTTTTAAAAATATTTAAACCATGTGAGACAGAAATAGTTCTAAAATATTTTAAGTGTTGCCACCCTTTCTTACGCAAAGTCTGCGCGATAGAACTTGCCTTTCTGCCATCAGCCCAAGCCCCGTGTCATAGTTCGGTTTCCGGATCTGCCATAGTAACGGTACCTCACGCGTATTGGGTGTTTACCGTGTGCCATGGACTATGCCAAGTGCATCGCACACGTTGTGTCATGAGGTCCTCAGACCACTTTCGGGGGAAGGCTTTTATCCTTACATGCTCAGCCCCCAGAGCTGAGCATGCTGCGATTGTCTCTAACACGGGCTGTGTTCACCTGGTTGATTTAGCAGAGCATGCCAGGGAGGATGTCATTTTCAGCTTAGCAGTGTGGCCGCAGGTATGGTGTGTGCACAATAAGACGACACTCTGCCCTCACCTTAGGGCACCATGAGGTTTATCAAGCTGTTTGCTCTCACATTCACTGACCCCAAACGAAAGCTGCTGACTTCCCACCCTGCTGGGTACTGTCAGCTTCTAGGCTATATATATATCTTTCCACTTTTAATCACAAACTTGCCTGTGGTATCGTCTTGTCTCTAGGCAAAAAGTTTGTTAAACTCACACGTAAAATCAACTTTTTTAAAGGGTAGATAGATTTGTTGTGAATAGCTTCGCTGAGATGTAATTCACATATCACACAATTCACCCACTGAAAGTGAATAATTCAGTGGTTTTTAGTATCTTTACCGGGATGTGCAACCACCACCACAGTCGATTTTAGAACATTTTCATCATCTCAAAAAAAAAAAAAGTATCCCACACCCATTAGCTGTTGCTCTGGCTGAGTTGTTCGACCTCTCTGTGCCTCAGTTTCCTCATCTGCAAAACGAGAATAAAAATATGAGGATTACACGAATTAGAACATACAGGGTGCTTAAACAGTCCCTGGCACAAACACCCGGGAAACGTCGGCTCTTGTTAAGGCTCAGAGCAGCAGATGCGGGTTAGACCCAATGTAGGAGCAGCACCGCCTCGTCTGCGTTTCGATTCCGGCCTCGTTGGCATGGGCTTGCTGGCGCTGGGTCTGGGGCGCACCCCACAAGCGCCTACACGGGAAACGCGAGTGGAGCCCCGAACCCTCAGCCGGTAGCAGGCTTTATTTTAGTAAAAGCAAAAGCGGCTTCTCATGGTTTTTGTTAGATTACTCAGCGCTGGCTCCTTCTTTTTACGTTTTGGACGTAAGGGTAACTAGCAGTTCTGGAGCACCTTGTCCGGAGTATGTGGCAGGCAGAGACAGAGCTGGGGGGCGTTAGTTGGAGGAGGCGACTCTTCGGCGAAGTGACCCGTCTGAACACACAGCCAGCCCCGTGACGTGGCCTGAACCCAGACCCACGCACGCCTGCCCTCAGCATCTCGCACTTTCCACTCGGCTGGCCCGTTTCTCGTGTTATTAATTTCCTATGTTTTGTTTATTTGCCTATGAGAGAGTGGGCACAGGAAGCTTCATTTCAGTGTGTGAAGTGTGTCATTGTACAGTGTCAGTGCCCTGTGTGGGCATGTCGGGGGATGTTGGGGCATGTCGGGGGATGTTGGGGCATGTCGGAGGATGTTGGGGCTTGCCAGGCGTGTGTGCTAAGATTATGACAGCGGTCACGGAGTCCTTGTTTTTAGTGTCCAGAACATGAGCTCTTTGCCGGGTGTGTGTGCTAAGATCATGACAGCAATCACGGGAGTCCTTGTTTTTAGTGTCCAGAACATGAGCTCTTATTACTTGAAAGGAGTGAAGTAAGCCATAAACTCCGTCAGGGGAAAGAACCATAAATTCTCTTAATTAATTTATTATTATTATTTATGCCTACAGCACCTGGTCTTCCTAGGTGGTCTCCCATCCAAGTACTAACCAGGCCCGACCCTGCTTAGCTTCCGAGATCAGACATCAGGCTTGTTCGGGGTGGCATGGCCGTAGACCATGGACTGTGGCTCCACTGGGGTGTGAACCCAGGGCCTTCTGTGTGTAAAGCAGACATGCTCACCGTACACTGTGGAATCACATCCCAAAATTCTCTTTTAATTGTAATGTGTGTACATTTGGTTAGGGAAAACTTTTCAGGGCTAAACAATTTTTTTTTAATTGAAAACAAGGTATCTTTTGATCTCTGTTAATGTACATAAGTATATTTAGCATAGGCTTTTCAGTCTAGAACAATGAACTTTTTCATTGGTAGCAAGAAATGCAGGAAAAATGTAAGTCTGAGCTCTCAATACGAGTCTGTTAGAATTATGAAAATATATAAGATTAGCAGGCGACAAAACCAGAAGAAATGTACATAGAATCGTAAACTATTGTTTACCTCTGGTGTTTGATTTTAGGATAAAAAATACATTTCGGATATTACAGTAAGAACAATAGTGAAATATTTATTCATTTGTTCAATAAATGTTTGTTTTACCGCCTGTGTGCTAGGTGAGTTCTGGGCTTTCATCCCAAATTTTGAAACCTGGATTTATTTTAGATTTGAGTTGGACCTTTCCCATTACCATAAAGCACTGCCCATGGTTTATAAGTGATGGATTCTTTCACATGGTTGTAGTAAAATCTATTCATGTCAGTGTGAAAATAAAAATGAAGGAAACCATTTCCTGGTTTATTTTTAGGAAATACTATCTGTTTCTTTGTTATTTATCGAATATTACTGTCTTTAGTCAATGTTTATAGACATATGTGCATAATAGCATTTCTAACCATGATGGAAAGTATTAATTGTGTGTTTCAAGCGATGTTATAATTCAGAAGCAATTTTATGTTTTGCCGAGGACAGTTATTGGGCCGTCAGTGGGAGTAAGCACAGCCTGTGGGGTCCCATCTTAACCTGCCATCGACCTGTGTTCATTACAGTGCTTTGTCCTTATGAGCCAGTCCTGGCTGAAGAAGTTTGGCTACTATAAAATCATCTTAATTTCTTTCTACCTGGAAGGAACGGCCTCCATTGTCATGCTGCTTCTTGGACAGCGACACCATTACTTCTTGGCTCTTTATCTCACTGCTGTCATGTAAGTAAACGCCATCGCCAGAACCAGGCCTGCCTCGGGCCCTGCCTCTTGCCCTGCGAAGCACCGAAGCCTCAGTGTTCAGGATTAGCTTCTAGGCAGAGTCGTCGTATCCTTCTGCCCGATTGTCTGAACGTTGCCAGCTTTGAGGAGATGTGACACTTGGGACCTTGAGGTAGAGTTGAGGACACATGGGACCTTGAGGTAGAGTTGAGCTCCTGTCTGACCTGCTAGGGAGCCGCGTTTCATTGACGCTGTGCCTTCGCGTGCCGTCCGGGGGATGGCCGGCCACCTGCCTGGCTGCCCAGGCCAGATCGCGAAGCACCTCTGCCTTCCCTCTCGCCGTCGTCTCCCACACGCAGTGTGCTGCCCATCCGTGCTTGTCCGCCCCTGACGCGCCCTGAGCCCGTCGCCCTCTGTTCCCATGGCCGCCCCCGCGGCTCCGGCCCTCGCGGTCTGTTCGTGGCCCTGTCCGCAGCCTCCTGCACGGCTGTGCCTCCGGCCCAAAGCCCCTCCAACCCCCTCCATAGTGCTTCAAGAATAGCACAGCGTTCTCCTCGCTTTCAGGATAGACCCCAAATGGTGACCGGGAAGTCCTTTGTCAGGTAGACCCGTTCCCTCTTCGCCCCGTTCCCTGTCATTCCACGCACACTGAACTCCACCCCGCACAGAAGCCCCTCGCAGTTCCCGTTCAGACAGCTCCGTGCCTGCCGTGCAGCTGGTCGCCGTTCCTCGCCTGGCTCTCTCCTAGGTTTCCTTACGCCGCAGCTCGGGGACCTGCTGCTCTGGGTAGACTCCCTTGATCTCATCATCTGCGTGAGGCGTCCCTCCTGTGTGGCCCCAAAGCCCTCTGCTCGTCTCCGCTGTGGCATTTAGGCCCTGCCTGTGACTGTCCGTGGCCCACACTGAACTGAGCTTACTATGAGTAGGGTCTAGTTCCTTACCCCTGGGGTCCCATCATCTGCAACAGTGGGTCCTTAGAAGATGCACTTTGGGTGAGTGAGTTAATGAGTCCTACTCCAGGTCCCTGCTGGAACAGTTTGAGAAAATTTTCATGGAGACTTATCTGCACTTAGAACAAATTAGTAGTGGAGAGTAATTAATCCAAAGGATTGACTCTCTGTGGAGCTTCATCAGAACCCACGTAGATAACTATTCTTTAAGTCTGTAGTGGTGGTCCCGGCTGTACCAAATTTAAAATGACATTTGTATGGTGATTTTTTTCAACGAAAATTTTTTGCTTTTTTTTAACTTAAACTGCCTTCCCATTTTCATTGTCCTATCGTAATTAAAATATATGCCCTCTTATAGTTCTTAACTTATTCTTCATGTCGAGAAAAATATCTAATGAGTTTCTCTGGCATGTTTCATTCTTGAGAATCTATTGATTATTTAAGCAGATTAAATGAGTAAGTAGTCATTTGGGACTGAAGACAAAGCATAAAAAACATTTTTTAAAATCTCAAGCAGAAGTAGTTATTTCATTTTAAAAAGGAATTATTCATTCGTAGATATGTAATATTTTGGGCGGATAGAAGTGTGTGCCTAATTATCTTTACTTTTTTACTATATTATTTCATTTTTCCTTCTTATAAACCAAATGTTAACTTTCATTCAATATTTGATTTTTAACAAAATCTGTGCCTCCTGGTTGTAAAATTTTCACATGTGTATTTTAAAATTGTTTCTAGGGTGATCGTACAAGCTTCTTTTTGTTTATTCAACCTGCCACTAGCTGACATCGTTGATGCAGATTTATTGAAGTTCAGTCGTCAGTAAGTAGTGTATTTATTCAAGTATTAGCTACAGAACTATCACATGGAGGCAGGGCCCACGAGTCTCCAGATCTCGGTTATTACAGCCTCAAACCACGCATCTGAGAGACCGTCACAGAGGCCTCAGAGCTGGAACATCATAGGACATCCATAACCGTGTCCCTGCTTCTGAGAGGACATCGTGGTATTTCATTCCTCAGGGTCACACAGCCAGTGCCACAACAGGGTCAAACTCAGAAACCACAGTGACAGCTCAGCGTCACGTTACACGTATCACAAGTCGCGTTATTACACTGGACGATAAGGCAAAGCCCACGTTATCTTTTTTTTTACTTGAAAAAGTGAAAGCCAATAAGGGGAGGTTTTGTCCTTCGGTAGGGTTATGTGTGTTTTAGATTAGCTGTAAAATTCCCTTGACTGGCCAACGTTTTCTGACGTGTGCCTTACTGGACAGATGAGAAAGGAATGTGCCGAGATGTTCGTTATTAGCTCTGTAGAAACATGTAGACTTTGTGGCCTCTTTTTCCTTTTTTTTTAATGAACTAAAATGGAGGAAAGCTTTGCCAATCCAGCTGCTCAATCTCCTCTTTATAGAACTCCTTTCCTGTTCCAGGGTTTTGTGGCCAAGTCACATTTGCAGTGACAAGATAGTCAGCTCCTTCCAGTGTAGGTCCAGGCCTTCACTTTTGTGTCCCTAAGTGCCTCGGAAAGTGACTGGCTCTAATCACTTTTGAAACATGAATGAATTAACAAGCAATAACTCCAGGAAACATACTATAACTCTCAAATGATTTATGGATATGTCCGGGCAGAAATAAATAAAAGGTCTCAAAAACTGGAAAGGGAGGGGCACCATTTACCAGATGCAACGTGTGCCAGCCCTGTCTGGCCTTTGCCCGTCCGAGCCTCACACCAGCCTTGCGTGGTAGATGTCATTGACTCAGCAGATACCCAGTGATTGCCTCCTGAGTGTCAAGCACTATGGTTAGTGCTGGGGATATAGTACAGCAGGTCTTGGCACAGATTCTTCGGGTCATCTGATGCTCCCTCTAAAACAACCCGGGGCCACAGACCAGTTAGACACCAGGCGGCACAGCAGGAGGTGAGCGGCGGGCAAGGGAGCGAAGCTCCATCTGTATCTGCAGCAGCTCCCCAGGCCTGGCATCACCGCCTCAGCTCCGCCTCAGATCATCAGGCATTAGATTCTCATAGGAGCACTGGTCCCTGGTGCCACAAAGGTTGGGGACCGCTACCCTGAAACATACTCTCCTATGCACCTGATGTGCCATATGCTTCTCTTGAGGACACTTGTGTTTTTCTGCTCTCGTAACTTGTATTCTCACAAGTCAGCACTTTCTGTTTCAAATCTGTTCCTGTCAGGTGCACTTATTATTATAATTATGACATTTAATTGCACGTATATTTTATAAACTTAGGAAATGTCAGTGTGAAATGAAAGTTATTTCTATGAAAACCAAGTTGAATGCTTTAGAAAGACTTGCTAAAGAATAATTGTAAAAAGAATTACTTTCAAATCTGATGTGATGAGAACTGTAAATATTTTGGGGAAAAGTCATAAAAATCTGAAGGTTTTCTGTGCTCAGTCTGCCTTACAAACAACTTCAGGTTTTCTCTCTATAACTGATAGTGGAATTCGTAGATCGTGTCATATGGACACTGTACACGTGAGAGAGATGGCACAGACTGTCATCCGTGGGCCCATACTTGAAAAAAAACCCAAAGAAAAGACTGGTGAATGAATACAGTTAAGTTAGAGCAGCGTGCTTAGCGTCTGTTCTTCTGAAATGGTTGTTTTGCTTTGGCCAGCTGTCATCCCGGTACAGTCGGATTAGAACTTAATACAGTGAGGAGGGTCGGGAGTGGGCCTTGCCGTGCAGCCCCGACAGTCTGGTGGGGGAGACGGAAAGCGGTGACAGCGTGCTGTGTCATCACGGATCACAGTTATCCCCGCGTTCGGGGGAGTAAGACTGTCGAGGGGTTGACTTGCTCGAGGTGGCAGAACCAGCAGCCCGGAGAGCTGGGACTGGAACTCAAGCTCTTCACCTTCATCTCGGCCTTTCTGATCTCATCTCTCCTTTCTTCTAGTTCTTTCTCCTCCCGTTTCTTCTCCTCCTTAGTCACAAGGTTTCCGTCATTGGTTGAAAAATAACAAGATTCCAGGTTACTCAGTCAATGCTCTTGATTTATTTTACATGACATAACTTAATCATCCAAAAAAAAGCCATCCTGATATGGCAGAGTTCTTACTAGGAACACGTTAAAGATGTCCTTAGTGAAATTGGGCAGAAAGATGCCGGTGTGGGTCCCAGCTCCACTCCTGACTAGCTACGTGACCGGGGACAACTTCATCTGTTTCCCCGTCTTTCAAAGGCGTGACATCTTCCCAGTGGGTTGTATGGGGCTTAAATGAGAAACCGTCCACACAGCACACTCGGCACAGGCCAGGGCACACGCAGCTCTAATTCAGTGACTACCACGAGACTGGCTGTGTCTCCTGTTTGACTCTTAGTCCCTTCATCTAAAGAGTTAGGCCCCTCCAGCTCTATGACCCCTTATGACCGGGGGTTCCTAATCTATAACTAATAGGATAAGTTCTTGGCTCTTTACTATACTATTTCTGTTATCGTCCTATTAGATGCAGGGAGAGTTTAATAGATAAAAAAAAGTCCTCGATACATGTACACGCACGCGTACACACACCTGTCACTTTCTGCGTGGTAGAGACCCATGCTGCTTTTTCTGTTCCAGGTCACCCCTTTCCTCGGTGGTCTTCGGCACCAATGCTTTGTTTACCAAACCCGCGCAGTCTTTAGCTCCCATGGTGATGCTCTCTGGGCTAAAGCAGTATGGATATGGAGACTCGAATGAAAGGTAGAGTGTGAAACGAAACAAACCTTCGAAATAACGCGAAAGAAAGAGGAAAGCAAACTCAGCCTTTTTCGATGACGACTAGGCAATTGTCTTAGACTTTGGATATTATTAGTCAATAACTCAGAGCTTGCGTGAGCTATAATCAAAAGGGCTAATGATGTCAAGAGGACTTTAGTAAGAGTATCTTTAAGGGTATTCTTGAAATCGCATACACCGCGTATAAGTGTCTATATAATCTACACTAAGATACGTGTTGATTGCTTTATCTAAGTCGTTCGTTCTTTTGTTATCTTATTTCACAACTGTTTCTGAGGGTACTGAGGGTACAAGGTGAAGAAGGAGCCCCAAACACTGTGGTCAAGGCCTCCAGAAGCAGGATGGGGCACTGTGGGAGTCAGGCGTGAGGTCTTACCTCAGTCTGTCCAGAGCCATGGAGCACGTCACATGGGTTTTTGAGCTGAGTTTTGGAAGCTGAGTTGGATCCCATCCCAAACACAGAGGAATGTCATTCCAGGCAGAGAAGACATCATGGCCAATGTCTGGAAGCACGAGAGAACTCTGTGAGCTGTTCAATTATTCACTGCACAAGTGTCATTGATGGCCTGCCACATCCCAGGCTCTGACAGGACAGTGAGCACCAGAAATCTCTGCGCCTACAGAGCTTGTGTTCTAGCGGGAGGGAGGCAGGCAAGAAATTAAATGAGAGAGACACAGAGCACGCTAGATGGTGGTAAGTTCCGGGGTGGAGAGACCAGAAGAGCAGGAAGGTTTGGGGAAGCGCGTGTTTTATGTTTTATTTATTTATTTATTTTTTTCCTGGAAGCATGTTTTAAAGTAAAGGCCTTGCCGCGAAGTAGGTGACATGTGAATAAAAACCTGGAGGAAGATGGGAGGAACCATGGTGCCCTCTGGGGGGCAGGGTTCCTGGCAGGAAGCACAGCACTGGGGGACAGCCGTGCCTGGCACTCAGGCCTGCACAGGTGTGGCAGAGCTTGACGAGCGTGGGTTTGATCTTAAGGATGGAATGAATATTCCTGTTACTTTTAAACCGAGGACCAAAAATACCAGTTGCCTTTGGAAAGGTCGCCTTGCAGCCTGGGGAATGGTCGAAGGGAGGTTGGACGACTTGCAGAGAAGGGACGAAGGCGAATAGACTGATTCTTACATGAGTGACACTGGCATGGGCCTGAGTGGCCGTGTGCGCCGTGGAAGGGCAGGAGGCCAACGCCACCGAGGTTAAGGAGCCGGAGCCAGCAGGACTTGGCGATGTGGGTGGTGGCGGTGGCGGTGGTGGCCCGCCACGCTCTGGGTCACCTTTCGTTCTGGGAACTGAGCTGAGCGTGTGAGGGTGGTGGGTGTGGCCGGCCCCGGCCGGCGCCCCTCTGCGGGACTGTGGGAGCCCCCTCCCCATCAGCTAAGCGCAGGGTCCGCCGCACGGGGCCGGTGCTCGAGGCCCAGTCGTAGAAGCGAAGGGCGGCCATGGCCAGGGAGGAGGAGCAGACCCGGGGCGGACCGGACTCACCGCTCGCTGAGGCCAGAGCAGTGGGCGAGGGGAGGGCGCCCCAAGTGCGCTCCGGCAGGAGCGGTCTCACCGTGCCACTCGCTAGCACGGAACAAGTCCTGATGTCCCCCAGCCCGCGGACCCCCGGGCGCAGCCCCGGGGCGCAGCCTGGCGCCGGCAGGTCTGGATGCTCCCTGGTTACTGTGCTGTGCAGCCAGCTGGGAACCCAGGGTTTACGTCCTTCGAAACCGAGGCCCTAGCGACCAGTTCTTGCTGACTCGGGCACAGGTACGTGACAGCCGGACACGCTGGCAGTCTAGTCGCATGATACTGTGGGCGTTTTTAGGGGTATGGACTTAATCGGGGCACTCAAGTGTCACTTCTCTTTGGTAACTTCATGTTTGGCATCTGGCAGCCTCGCGTAGCTAACACGAATCGTAAGTGTCGGACAGAAGTCCAGAGGCCAGCTGTACGTGCAGCTGGGTGTGGCTGGGTGATCAGGGTGCTTCGAAGGTCACCAGTGTGACGAGTTTAGCACACATGTTTGTACCAGACAAAGGACCAAGGGAAAGCTGCAGACATAAATCGTATCGTAGCAGGGAAATAGGAATCGGGTACAGATTTCCTATTTCCCTGCTACAATACGCGGCACTGCACGGTTCAGGGGTGTCGCTCGCCCTCTGCCCCGCAGGGAAGCTGGGCGGGGATTCCCTGATGCGGGTAGAGAAAGGCTGGTGCTACAGCAGGGGCTGCTGCGCCAAGTTTACGAGGTCGCTTTCCTTTTTGACCCACGAGTGCGCCACTCGCAGCCTGTGAGTATAGTGGTTACGTTTATTGCTAACGGACGTTCATAGCAGGGGTACTCGGTCAAGAAAAGCAGTGTGTAATCTCTTCTAATTATAGGCGATAAGGTACTTCATGTGGCCTTGTTAGAAATCCGTTCTCGTAATTGGTTTATAATGGTAGCTCCTGTTTATAAAAATCGCAATGAAGCCCACACTTTCCGCACACAGAACGATGACAGCGAAACCCTAGTGTACCACAGAGAAGGGGCCGCTGATTCTATCTGGCCACTGAGCTTGCTCGCTCTTTTTGTCAGCTCGCATCTAGGGAGCGTTACTGGGCGTGAGTGGTGAGCAGGAAACGGGGTCCTGCCCCTGGGAGCGTGTGGCAGCGGTGGCAGAGGCGGCCGGAGAGTCCCGCGCAGCGAGCTGAGCCCAGGTGGAGGTGTGCGCACGGAGCAAGCAGACTGTGGCTCGTCACTCGGCGTCCTGGCAGGGATGCGGGGCACTGCTCTGACTCTGCTTGGTGGCACTGCCTTACGGCCCTGGCCAAATTCCTGCCGCTCGACAGGACATTCTGCAGTAAAGTGCATCTTCCCTGGCGGCCAGTTTATTTATTGAATCATTAGCGTCATCTGTGGACACTCTGCAGGAAACCTAAATGAAATCTGTTGCTAAAAAAATAGTCTATTACGATCAGTGTGCTATATAGACAAGTGTGTTTTTAAAATTTATGTCTGCAGCTTTCCCTTGGTCCTTTGTCCAAAAGCTTCACATCTGATGCTTCTAAAATTGTATTTGCAACTGAAATTTAGGAAGTCACTTTTCTCTTAATGATGTGGTAAACAGCGCTGTCTTGAACTCCAGCAAAGAAGAGGATCAAAGTGATTTTGTCTTGTAAGTAATAAAAATACTCTTGGCGTTTAGTTATATGTAGTTAATCGTTAAAGTCAATTTTAAAACTGTTTTTGAAAACACAATTTCCCTAGAGATTTACTCTCTCAGCAGCCTGGAACTTCTCAGGCAGACCTCTGTCCTGCTTGTTCAGTGACCTCTGTTTCATGCCGGGACGAAATCAGTGGTTTTATGGAATGTTCAAAATTCGGTTACACTGTCTTGGTGTTTAGTTATATGCAGTTAATCGTTAAAGTCCATTTTAAAACTGTTTTTGAAAACACAATTTCCCTAGAGATTTACTCTCTCAGCAGCCTGGAACTTCTCAGGCAGACCTCTGTCCTGCTTGTTCAGTGACCTCTGTTTCATGCCGGGACGAAATCAGTGGTTTTATGGAATGTTCAAAATTCGGTTACCGAGGCTAGAAATGAGTTAGTCTGACATATTAGACTTGGTGCTGGCGGATTTGTTCTTTCAGAGACTCTTTTCTGTGTTCTAGAGAGTGGGAGGAAGCCAGACTTAGCTTGAGTTCTCCGACGTGGCAGAGCCTGTGTGCGACAAGGTGACAGGTAGTAG